GCCCAGCTGGTGAAAGGAGCAGCACCAAAGCGAAAGCCACAGTCAAAGTCTCCATCTCCAGGAATGGATGGAATATATTCAGAGCATAATTACAACAAACAAGGCCAGACAACTGGAAGCACTATGCAATTGTAAGGAGGATGAAATCTGGAACTGAGCTTCCACTTTGGAATATAAATGGCAGCTCCTTTGGCTGCTGTGTTTAGGTTTAACACAGAGCACTTGTGCACAGGCTGCCTTCAGGGAGAGCCTTCCCTTTCTGGCTGGGCTTTTTTAGACTTCATACTCAAAGTTACAGTACTTACTTAGGAAGGAAGGAACTATCCAGTGAAACACAATTTGATCAGTGATGTGTCCAGCATCAGGCGCTACCAGCGCTGGATTATCCACTAGGCACACTAAACACATACTTAGCACACCAGCAAAAGCAGGGGCACCCAAAAAGTGAGAATCGTTTTGGAAAGAAATAGACATTTAATATTTTTTAAAAAGCATTGAAGCAGTAGGAAAAATCAGAACTTTGTTAGACTTCCTTTGTTACCCTCCACAACACACACTTTCCCCGTTTCTTCTGCTCTCTGAATATGACTTATCTCCACCTAAACAAGAGGGCATCCTTCTAATGTAGATCAAAATAATGCAAGGAAATCACATCCTGACATACATTCATGTACATCACAGCATACCTATATGTTTTGAAAAATAGATTTTATTTTACAGTTTAGTGCTGTTTTTGTTTTGAATTACAGGAATGGGGGCACCAAAATCTTTCAGCGTTTATGGCCTCCAAAGGTCTTCATCTGGGCCTAGGCACAACTATACAGCAAGGATACCCTATATATCTGCACCTAGAGGGAGAGGGAAAGACAGAGAGATAGTATTCAGATGAATTCCAGTGGACATGATTCATCAGGGTCTGACCATGCCCTTTTGACGTGAACCAATTGGATCATCTTATTTTAACCAGGGTTACAGTAGTCCTCAGAGCAGGGCTGCCAACTTGGATAAAATATGGGGGGGGCAGGTAAGCCCTACCCTGCAGTATCCATCACGTGGCATGGCACACCCCCCCCCCCGAATGGCAATGCCCATCAACCTGGGGGTGGGCGTTCAAATATTTTATTGGGGGGAGGAAGGGACCTCGGCCCCCAGGAGTTGGCTCCTATGCCTCAGTGGATTGCATTCTGCAAATGAAGCACAGTCACGTTGATGTTGTTATATGAATTGTTCTCTCAGTTTATTAAATATAAATTTATGACTGGACTTCCTCCCTGTATCACAGCAGCAGAGCAGAAAATCCGCAGAGAAACCTGCTTTCCCGAGCCTTCGGGATTTCGCAGCATTCTGCGCCCTGTGCGGACTTTTTTCCGCCAGGTTTTTCGTCGCCTCTTTGGGAGGGATTCCCTGTTATTCCTTTCCCTTTCCCATTCCCATTTTTTCCTCTCCTTATGGAGCGACGAGGCTATTGCCTCTAAAAATAAATAAACCCGCTTCTAATTTAGCTCTTTCAAGGCGCCCATTCGGTTTGATGGTTGGACACTGATATTCGCGCAGCAGCTGAGCAGGAGCCAGAGGAAACGCCCGGCAGCCTTCGTCGCCCCTCTTTCTCCTGCTTGATGGTCTGGTGGAGACGAAGTGGATTCGCCCGTCTTCCGGCAGGTCCAGGCTCCCGGCAGGCGCTGAGCGAGCATGAAAGAGAAGCGGAGCGGAATTCGGAGCCGGGCTCAGATATCACCGAAGGGTTGTCATTGAGACACGCGAAATGCGCTTCCCCAGAAAACGGTGCGACGGACAACTCTTCCCAACCCAGCCAGACTCTGAGATGCCTTTGTTTCCTGGGAATCACGCAGAAAGTCATTTGTCATTTAATGGTGGCGGTGGATTCTGTTAGAAACCAAGAGTCTGATAGCGCCTTCAAAACGAACTCATTTAGGAGGGCATGTCCGCTTCGCCAGATGCCTGCGTCTTAGTTGGAAAGGAGAAAATGGCACGGTGAGAGCTGAATGGCAATGGAATGCAAAAATTACAGTCAGTGACAATTAAAGGATAAACGTATGTGAAATAGGCGCAGCTTTTTACTGTAGCAGAATTGCTAGAATTGCTGAAAAGATAGCATTCAAACCTGTAGTGGGGCAAGGAACCATTCGCAAGAAACAGGCATGGATAGCGCATTTCTCCCTAATTAAAACATGTACGGGGGGGGGTTAATTAAAAAATCTTTTTTTTTTGTTTAGCCCACAAGTGATTGTATGGAACATGATGGTCCTGATAACATGAGCTTACTCAGAACTTCTGGATGCTTTGTCCAAATCCAGAGGCTGGTAATGCATTTAGGAGGTGTTAGAAGCTCTCGAGACGTCGTAGGGACGAATCCTAGGCATACTCAGTTTCACTGCGTTCAGCGGGACTTATGCCCGGGAAAATACGCAGAGGACTTCACTCTTACAGAGCCATCCTATCCGTCTTTGCTTAGAAGCAAACCTGTGGCCAAGGAGAGGTTCACGAACTCTCTGGACTCCATGAGTTTATCAGGAACTATGTATGGAATTCCTCTCTTAGCTTCTAAAATCTTGGGATTCAAGATTTCGCCCGGAAACCGTTTACACTAAATCGTTCATGGCAAGGAAATACTTAAAGGTGGTCCCGCTTTTTTGTTATATAAAAATCATTTATATTTTTCTATTAGTTTAATAATAATAATAATAATAATAATAATAATAATAATAATTTTTGTACGGCTGAGCATTGCCTGCGATCAGCAGATTCTAAGCCTTGTTGATCCTCATGCAACCTGGAAACAAACTTCTCCCGCTACTCCCAACTCTAGTGGGAAAAAGTCATCCCTCCGCAACTTCGTTCCAGCGCGCTCCCTGCGCTGCGGCTCTCCTGATTTTCCCCATACGCCGCTTGCTTGGATTTGCCGCTTTAAACCTTGCTCAGGAACCACTTGATACTTAATACTCTGCACACCTCACCGGGCAGGAATCGGAGGGACTTAGACCGCAATCCTAACCGTGTCTACTCAGAAGTAAGCCCTGTTGGGTCCAGTGGGCTTTACTCCCAAGTAAATGGGGTTAGGACTGCAGTCTTAAATCTCGGCCAACAGTGTGGTGTAGTGCTTGAGAGTGTCAGACTCCTACCTGGGAGACGAGGGTTCAAATCCTTCCTCAGCCCTGAAGCTCGCTGGGTGACCTTGGGCCGGTCACTCACTCGCACCCTAACCTACCCCACAGGCCTGTTGTGAGGATAAAATGGGGAGCAGGGAAACTATGTGGCCACAATGAGCTCCTTGGCCGAAAGGTGATATAACTGTTAGAAGCAAGCTGTGCATAGGATCGACGGGAGGGGCAGCTATTTGAGGTTACCCTGAGGAAATTCTGGTTATGGGCGGCACAGACTAAGGAGGAATCCTCCGAGTTCCCTACTCTCTAGATCCGGGTTTTGCAGAATTTAGAGAAAGAGACCACCAGCAGTAGCAGCAGCAGCGGGAGCTCCAGGGGTTTTTACTCCTCCTGCCGCGCCTGCGGGGTGTCAGTGCTGGCTTCTCGCTCTCTTCTCCGCCTCATGCATGAATTAGGGTCCACTTGGCGTCATCCTTCTTGATGCAAGAAACCCGTTGACAAGCAGGGAGACGAGGAGTCTCAGCGCCTCCACGCCTGGAAGGAAAAAACAATTTTTAATATAGGAGATCCGGGAGAACCTTAGAAGCAGCTCAGAAGAACTCAGGCGCTTGGAGTGACAAGTGACTCTTTCTTCCCATCCAGGGACCAGCCTCGAGTGCTCCAAGGAACCGCTACTAATAGTAGTAGTAATAACAATAGCTCTTTGGAACACTAGAAGTTGATTATTATTATTATTAGCTTAGCTTAGCTTAGCTTAGCTTAGCTTACATAGAACCAGAGCATTGTAGAGTTGTGGCCCAAAGAATGATCTAGTCCAACCCCCTGCAATATAGGAATCACAGCTAAAGAATCCCTGACAGAATCCCTGATCTTGTAATCCTGCCAACAACCCTGAAAGGTAGGTTGGAATTATGACCCCCCTCTTGCATAGGACAGCTTGAGGCCACCTCGACTTTAGGTTGCTCTCCTGAGCATTAAAACGCAGAGGAGAGACTTTTTACCGCCCTAATCTGAAGCGCGCATTGTGGAAGGCGCAGTGATGGAGATGCCATTTACGCGCAAGTAGCGCCGTCACAGAATCCGAGCTGCTAGTGACAGAGATCTTTCTTTCGAATGGGGCTCTTTCTTGTCAAACCATCCCCGCCGCTTGGAAAGGAGATGATTCCCGGTTTAGCCCCGCCTCTTAAAACGAGTTTGAAGTTGCCCGCAGTCTCCTCTCAAACGGAACGCCGAATCTGGTGCGCAACACTTGATCAGCTCCTGTATCGTTTTGGAGAGGCAGCAACCGAAGTGGTGCAGACACCCGCTTCGTCTCTCTTCCTCGCCCTGTAACGAAGGGATTGACTGGGAGCCCCGGTTCCACAGCTGCGCCCCTCACTGTAGCTCCATCCTGGTAAAAATGGCACCTGTTGGATATGCCCTCCTGGCCCAGACCAGGGCAAGGGATTGGGACCCTAAGGCTCTCCGGCACCCAGCGCCCCTGGCTATTGGCCAGGCGAGCTGGGCTACTGGGTGTTGGGATCTCCAGGGCCGCAGGCTCCCCTCCCGAGTGGAATCCAACATGCTGCCTTATTCCGAGTCAGGCAAGGGAGCCAGCATGGTGTAGTGGTTAAGAGCGGTAGTCTCGTGATCTGGGGAACCGGGTTCGCATCTCCGCTCCTCCACATGCAGCTGCTGGGTGACCTTGGGCCAGTTACACTTCTCTGAAGTCTCTCAGCCCCACTCACCTCACAGAGTGTTTGTTGTGGGGGAGGAAGGGAAAGGAGAATGTCTTCTTCTTCTTCTTCTTCTTCTTGTCCATGATTTAACTCAGGGCTGCCTGAACAGACTGGCAGTAGCTCTCCAAGGTTTCAGGCCGGGGTCTCTGCTAGCCCAACCTGCAGACGCTTGGATCTTGAACCAGGACCTTCTGCACGCCAAGCAGATGCTCAGCCACTCAGCGACGGGTGCTTCTCATAGCGCCCGACCAAAGGTTTGGACGAGAAGTCGAAGAGAGCCTTTGGGTGACCCCCAAGGGGTGGGCACGGCCAGAGAGCCTTCTGTCTTTTAAGGATGATAGCCTGAACTGTACTCTCATCTCCTGCGTAGACAGAGGTCAGGTGGCACCCCTGTCAGACGCGCTGTTTGGAAAGCCCCCTTCCTTTTCAAAAATGGCTTGCTGCCTGGCCTTGCCGGGGGTCGCTGTGGGCGTTCCCGCACTCCCTCTCTTGAACCGCGGGGTTCTCGGTTCTTTCGGATCCCGGTCCTGAATCAGGCAAGAGTCAGTTGGGGTAATAAGAGCCAGAGTAGTGTAGTGGTTAGAGTGTCGGACTAGGTCCTGGGAGACTAGGGTTATCGGCCATGAGTGACTTTGGACTAGTTACTGCCTCTCAGCCTAATCTATTCAGTGAAGATGGGGAAGAAGAAGAGTTTGGATTTGATATCCTGCTTTATCACTACCTTAAGGAGTGGGTTAACAATCTCCTTCCCCTTCCTTCCCCACAACAGGTGGGGCTGAGAGACTTCAAAGAAGTGTGACTGGCCCAAGGTCACCCAGCAGCTCCATGTGGAGGAGCGGAGACGCGAACCCGGTTCACCAGATTACGAGTCTACTGCTCTTAACCACTACACCACACTGGGTGGGAGGACCACGTACGGCTCTTTGGAGTATAAAATGCAACAACAACAACTATATAGTGCTCAGGGAAAAGCACCAATGAAAGGCTGTTGAATAAGCAAGAGAAGCGGGGGTACTGTGTCTTATCACACATTTTGCACTGAATAACGGAAAGGAATCTGTTTATTGTGGTTTTTCTCTGCATATTTTGAAAACCCTGAATTTAAAAATATTGATAAGGGGGTGTCATTTGTTTTAATTAAGAAAGGTGGAAAATAAGATTTTGTTAGTGTTTTTGTAAAGTTATTTTTGGGCGACTGAAACAATCGGAGTCTAAATAGAAAGCTGTTACCTGGACAGTTGCTTTTAAGTAGCACCTTCCATCCCAATAAAGTTGGTCTTTTATCCTCACAAGCCCCCCTTGGTGTATTAGTTAAGAGTGTCAGACTGGGGCCTGGGAGAGGAGCTGAGTTCAAGTCTCCACTTAGCCACTGTGTAGCCTTGGCCCAGTCACTATCTCTCAGCCGAAGTTTACCCGCAGGGTTATTGTGAGAAAGAAAGGGAGAGGGAGGGATCAGAGTGTGCGCCGCCTGGAGTTCCTTTGAGAAAGGCGGGGTGTGAATTTAATAATGGCCTAATGAAAGAAAGGAACCCGCGGAATGAGAGAGTGATTTGCGCATATATATGGGATATTTTAACAAGAAATATGATTGCATGAAAGGAGTAAGTGGCGAGCATATTCGAAGGCTCCGCTGACGGAATGCTTGGCTCCCTCTGTGCTGCGCGGGGACAGGACAGGGATCTGTTGCTGCTGGCCAGCTGGATCGCGACTCCCTCGACGCAGGAGCAAGTCCCGCAGATCTCAACCCCGCTTACTTGCGAGTAAGTGGCCTGGGTCGAGAGGAAGGCCAGCGAGCAAGCATTGCAAGCTGCTCCTGATGGGCGCGTAGGAGGCCGAGAGAGAGAGGGAGAGAGACCCACCCGGGACAAGCCCTGGACTGGAGCCGGGCCGGGCCGGATCGCGGCTTGATTGGCAGGCGGGCCGGGCGGCAGGTCCTGGCGGGCCTTTCTGCGAGCTTCTCCCATGCCGTGTAGATTATAGGCTAATGGGGTGCAGGCGATGGCAAGCTCTGTTTATATAATCCATTTCTTCACACAAGTTCCCCGTGCCTTTGCTGTCTGTGGTGGTTCTCTGATCCCGCTGACCCCGGCCATGTGGTTTCACTTTTTCTTCTGATCTCAATTCCAGGACCAGCGGGGAATAAAACACAAATTGAATAGTAACCATTCACAGACCATTCTTTGCAAACGCCTCTTAAGCCTTCTTTGTCTTGTCGAGCAATTGAGAGATAAATGCCTCGCATTTGGCCCCGTTTCTCGATTTTGCTTTCTTTACCCTCCTCCTCCGCCTCCTTTCGATGTGTGTGTGGTGTTCTCCCTTAAAAAAAAGAAACTTTTCCCCAATAGACTCACACCCAGCCACACAGGCGCACTTTCCCCTACAACACAACGGCGCGGGGCGGGGGGGCGGTTAGTGGATCCCGTACAAATCCCCAAAGCAAAAGGTCTTCAACACTTGGATCAGTGAATTTCCTCTGTACACGGGTATTGCCGGCTTTCGGGCTGCGTTCACACGGCTCCCTCGCTCTCTTTCCCTTGAAAGCGGACCCTGGAGCGCTGGTGGGAACCGAAAACATAGATGGCAGAAGAAACTCCCCATCCCCACTTGATCCTGTGGGTCAGGCTTGTCTTCTTTTGCTCCGCAGTCCTATTTTCTGCCGTGTCAGGTGAGGGCAGGAGCTGTTTATTCAGCTTTTCGAGAGAACGAAAAGCAGCCCAGAGACGCTGAAACCATCTGTCTTGTTTGTTATGGGGACAGGACCGGGATCCGCGTGTTTGTCTTAGGCTAGAGCCCCAGGCTCTGCCGGCTGCAGCTTCGCTACCACATTGCTGAGCGGAGGAAAAGCCGCTCCGAGCGCTCAAGGGAGCCGCGAAACCCATGTCCGATCAACAGTCTCTTCAGACGACCACAAAACACGACACTGCGGCAAAGACTGCTCCGGATTTTTAAATAGCGGGTGGCGAATGGTGATGACGAGGCCGATCCTTCTTAAATTTTAGCTAGACTGATGTCATAACCACTTCTATTATTATTTTAAAAACCATTTGCCATCTATTGTTCGTTGCCATCAGATAGTAAGAATTCATTATTACACGCGTGTTTCGTGGCTCTGCTAAACTGGGACGGGGATGCGGGGGAGGGGGACACACCACTTTGTACCCATCCAAGACAGCATTACTTGGTGAGTAAGCCCCACTGGGTTTAGGGGAATTGAGGGTCACAATCCGTTACTCTCCTTCCTCCTCGAATGGATCTACTTCGAAGTGACCTCAGTTTAACTTCCTCGGGGTGAGAACAACTGTCCATAACCCCAAATCAGGGCATAGTCTGGTGGTCTTTCCTGGACCTGTAAATATCACTTCGGTTCGGCGGGTCAATTATTTCGCCGCTTCCCAGTTTGCATTCGCAACGAATTCGCGGTGCGGGCCGACTATTGGTCACTCGAGTCCGTGACAAAAGACCCCCTTGACGCGAGAGCCTCTGGACCGCAGCACACTCCGGCAGCTGTAAGTTGCCCTGTCCCTCCCAACTCCCACTCCCCCCCCCAAAAAAGGAGAAATTAAATAGGGATCGGGAAAGAAACTGGAGAACAAAGCCAAACAAAGATCGGATCGTGCAGTTAAAGTCATTAACCGCAGAGTTGAAAAGGCATTTAATTGGCCGTGTTTGAAAAGGTTCCCTCTGAAAAGGAGCCAGCCCCGCCAGCTCATCAAAATATGTGTGTGTGGTTGTTGTTTTTTGTAATAACCCTCCTGCTTTCCTTATGGCTCTCCAACCAATAAGTTAAGCATCTGCCTAGCAACGGAACCAAATCCTGAGCGTGCGAGAAATAGCTCTGCACTTTTCTCCTGCGTTAAGATGCGCTCATGCGTCTCCGAAGCGTCGATGACACCAGTCTATGAACTGGGGAAAAGAAAGGCCAAAGATTTGGCTCGGGGGTGGGGGTGGGGTTGCACCCGAAAAGTGTTAGATTTTCTTAGTAAAGTGTTACTTTTCTTAGTAAAGAAAAGTCCGGGGGGATTTTAAAGGAGTCTGAGGATTCAATGAAGTTCTAAAAAGACCCAGCGCCTGGGATTCCCAGGGCTTTTCGGGGATTTGTAGCGCAAGTCTCTGTTCATAGGTTTACTCCGAATTCAAAAAGCCCCCAAAGTCCAGGTCTTATCGTTCCCTAGTAAGCATGCGCAAGGGTGTGCAACCTCACGGTGGAACTATTTCGTCGCAACCTCATCGTCTTCAGCACGTGTATTCAGCCTCGTGAAGAGTTTAAGATCGGGGCAATGAGAAAAAACTGAGTTGGGAAAACCGAGGGCCTGCGGCTGTTTAATGAGATCTGGAAGGCACAAATCCGTAGGGGTGAACCGAACACAACCCGAATCAGACCAGTCTAGTCTACACACGGACTTGCAGCGGCCCTTCAAGATGTTAGGTTCGGCGTCCAGAGGTTCCAGCTTGGCCCCATGACCATGGGTGCCCGGGGCCGTGGGTGCCATGCAGTGTGCATGGCCCTGGCACCGAAATTTGTGAGTGCCCGGCCCCTTCATGGGGAATTTTGTGGGTGCTCGGGCACCCAGGGCTCTAGGAATTTGGCACCTGTGATGGCGTCTTTCCCAGACTGACTTACCTGGAGATGGCGGAGATCGAACCTGAGACTTTCTGTCTGAGCCGACTTTCTGCCGCTGAGCTGCGGCCCTTCCCGGCTTGGAACAGGGGCAGCATCCTAGGACGCCGTTTGGTCAGGCGTCACTGTGCAGCCTTATGTGTGCTTTGCATAGAAGCAAGTTTCCGTGTGCTTAGTGGGTCTTCCTGCCTAGGAAGCATGTTTAGGATCGCACCCCTGAAGCACAGTGTTGACCCTATTACCTCGAAATTGAGATCCACTGGATTTCCCACGAGTAAAATGTGTTTAGAGTTGCTAATCCTATGCTTATTCAATTGTTTTTGTTGAGTTAAAATATATATATATATCCTTTTGTGGCTGTTTCGATTCATGTTACGAAGCGCCTTGGGTCCTGCGCTGAGAGAAAGGCGTAGTATTAAACAAATAAACAAATTGCTCACTTAGCTGGGAGGGAACCCGCTGAAATCAGTGGAACGTACCATTGTCGATTAGAATCTCTTCCCTGCGCTTTGAACGCCAGAACAGGAGAGCTACATCGCTTGCACAGGGATTCTCTGGATTTAGGAAGGAGAAAGTGTGGACAGCAACAGCGGACTAGGGGGGATTAAAGGAGG